GGTCGCAACGACCACCGGTGGCGTGGCCGGAACTGACCATGGAAGAGGTGGAGAGGAAGGTGATGGCCGCCAAGCCGTGGAAGGCGCCCGGGGACGATGGCCTGCCGGCGATGGTGTGGAAAGAGCTGTGGCCAGTGGTCAAGGAACGCGTGCTGCACCTGTTCCGACTATCACTCGGAAGCGGCGAGCTTCCTGAGCAGTGGAGGAGCGCGAGGATCATCCCGCTGAAGAAACCCGACAAGGATGACTACACGGCGGCGAGAGCCTGGCGACCAATCTCCTTGCTCTCAACGCTGGGCAAGGTGCTAGAGGCGGTGGTCGCGGAGCGCGTAGCGTATGCGGTCGAGACGCATGGCTTGCTACCGGCCAACCATTTCGGCGCGAGAAAGAGGCGCTCGGCGGAACAAGCGCTCATCCTCTTGCAAGAGAACATTTATAGAGCGTGGAGGATGGGCAAGGTGCTCAGCCTGGTGAGCTTTGATGTCAAGGGAGCATACAACGGCGTGTTCAAGGAGAGGCTGCTGCAGAGGCTAGCGGCGAGAGGTCTGCCTGGGGAGCTGGTTCGGTGGGTGGATGCATTCTGCTCCGAGCGGACGGCCAGCATCGAGGTCAACGGGTACCGCTCCCCCCAGAAACCACTTCCACAGGCGGGCCTGCCGCAGGGGTCTCCGCTGTCGCCAATTCTCTTCCTCTTCTTCAACGCGGACCTTGTGCAGACGAGCATCAGCACGACGGAGGGCGCGATCGCCTTCGTGGACGACTACTCGGCCTGGGTGACAGGGGAATCAGCGGCGGCGAACCGGGCCGGGATCGAGGCCATCATCGAACGAGCCCTGGCTTGGGCCAGGCGGAGCGGTGCGACTTTCGAGAGCAACAAGACAGCCGTTATCCACTTCACGAGATCGGCTAGACGGGGCAGCCAGGGCAGCTTCGTGGTTGATGGACAGACTGTGCAACCGAAGGACACCGCCAAGGTGCTGGGGGTGGTGCTGGACGCAGAGCTCAGATACAAGCAGCACATTGCCGAGGCAGCTGCCAAGGGCCTGTCTGTCGCGATGCATTTGAGGAGACTCCGGGGTCTGTCGCCGAGGGTCGCCAGGCAGCTGTTCACAACTGCAGTGGCGCCGGCCATGGACTACGCCTCCAACGTGTGGACACACGCTTGCGGAGAGAGGGAGACGGCCTGGTTGAGCCAAGCACAAGCAGTCGGAGCGCAGGCCGTGACTGGAGCGTTTGGAAGCGTCGCCACGGCCGTGGCTGAGGCAGAGACGAACATTGAGCCAGTGCTTCAGCGACATACCAGGGCTGCCGCCAAGACGTGGATTAGCCTACGCACCCTTCCGAGGGAACACCCGCTGGCGAGGCTGAGCATGAGGATATGTCAACGGTTCACGTCGCCGATGCAGAAGATGGCCATGCGGTATAGGGACGAAACAGGGGAACGGCTGGAAAAGATACGAGAGTACGCCATGGCACCGTGGGAGAGCCGAATCCGCGTCGCGTGCGGTGTGGACCGAGACGAAGCAGCGGAGGCTGCAAGCGCGGCCCGAGGCTTGGTGATCTCGACGAGCTCTTCGGAGAGGGGAGGATTGGTTGGTATGGGTGGCTACGTGGAGTATGTGACAGCAAAGGGCAAGAGGGATATGTTGGCCCGGTTCTCGGTCACGCTAGGCCCACGTGAGGATCTAAACCCGTACACGGCCGAGCTGGAGGCAATGACGTGGGCATTTCGGTACGTGCCGGCGAAACTGCCCCACAGGAACGTGGTCATCGTCAGCAGCAACAGGGCAGCCGTCCAGGTGGTGGGGCAGCCTCGACAGCAATCCGGGCAACGCGCAGTCCAAGAGCTGTACAGACAGGTGAGGCTGCCGCATCTGCAGGATGTGCCGGTGTCCATGCTGTGGGTACCGGCAGGCCATGAAAGCTTTCGCGCGGGCGTGGTGGCCAAGGCAGCGGCCCGTGAGGCTACAGAGGAAGGACGCGTTCGGGAAAGGGCAACTTATCAAGCACGAGCGACGAGAACGAGGCTGCTGCTCGGCCAACCGCAACAGCAGCGGC